GGTAGACCAGTTGCCATCCAAGACTATAGAATCCTGTTATTTACCTAGAATTGCAGGGGAGAAGAGGATACATACCCATACGTAAGTGAATGGATTTGACTGGAATTCGAACTCGGCTCTCCGATTCCTCAAACCAAGCCGCTATCCATTACTCCATCGAACATCTAGTACTTTGAAGAAAAGAGCTAGAAATCTGATAGGCCGATAGTTAGAAGAATCAGACGGTTCGTTTCTCTTAAAGAATGAAATTAGAGAAGAGGATTTCCAACAAGCAGAAAAGGCAGAAACAGCAAGGCATTTCTTATAGAGTTTAGAGAGAACAGGAGCCAGTTCAGGAGCACCTTTCTTCAGGAATATTTCAGGGATCCTAGCCAGAGTAGATATTTTGTGGGTATCCATTTCAGAGATAATAGCAGAAATCATGATCGGAGTTATATGCATATCACACAAAAGAGACTCGCTTCTAAGTGGAAAGTCAGATAAAAAAATACCTCAGATAAGTCAAGAGTATAATTAGAAAAGATTTATAAGCAAAGTATTCTGATTCATCAGCAGAAGATTTTAACACTTCAGATTAAGTGAAGAGAGGAGGGATAAAAAAAAACTTAATTTTATTTAACAAACTATTACAGCGTCGCCAGTAGTCACGAGAACCAATCTTCTTAGAGGCTTCTAATCTTCATAAGTGCCTCATTCTGTCAACAAACAAAAGCTTTGCCTCATTGAAGTCACATTTACATTTACAATCATTGCGTGTAGACACAAAGAGGCGCCTCTTGTTTTAGGAACTGTTATGTTGGCATAGTCGGAAAACGTGATTCCTTTGGGTTTTAGCGGTTGATTAGTGAGGTGCAAACCAAGAAGAGGATTATGGTTTTACCTGGCATTTCCGATACGGAACAAAAGAATCTATGCCACCTTTAACCCAATAAGAAATCTCCGTTGTCCAATCCTCAATAGGAACGTTAAGAATATTAGTGCAAAGAGTCTCTCGAAGAAAGTCAGGAAATTAATTCCAATCAGTATGATGGTAACAGAAAAATGTCTTGGGAATAGCGGGTTCCTGTCTAATAGACAACTCAAAAGAAATATCAACAGATACTACAGCGTTATCCGAATTGCCATGAGAAGAGAGTTGCGATACTCGACAAGAACTAGGAGAGTGGGTAAGGCAAGTCAAGTAAAGAAATATATCGATCAGAATCATTAGGGAAATGAATGGGGAAATCCATTATTGGATTGACAGACTGAGTAACGGAAGAATTGAAAGTCCGAATACCGAAAACATCAATAACATTAGATTTATTAAAACCGGTTGGCATGATGAGAATTAAAATAGCCAAACACAAGAATAAATGTAGGGCGAGATAGAATCATTGATATATATATATATATATATATATATATATATATATATATATATATATATATATATAAGTGAACATACAGAAGTCAACACTTAGAAGCGACATATATATATCGTGGCCTGACGATTTCATCTAGCATGAAACAGATTGTCGACTCTAAGTGTTGACGTCTATGTTCACTTTTATATATACACACGCTCTATCTCTGATATTGAGCACTTTATCCCATAAATATAGCACATCTTAAGACTATATTTCCTTATATATATATATATATATATATATAATAAAAGAACAAACACGAAATGTATATCAATCTAAAATGTTACACTAATACAAAGAATACATTCTTAAAGAGGCCAGCCATAAATTAGAACCTTGTTAGCCCCGACTGCGTGGGTTGACCACATAAAGATGAAGATAGAACTCACACTAGACAGACATACATAATTACAAATACTCATTACCAGCCGATGCCCATTTAGACTTGCAAGAATCTTCACAAACCTATATACACGTAGAATTATCTATAGTTTAATACACGTGACACGTGTCTGACCAATGAAAACTGACATAAACATGTGAAAATACCAATGTTTCTAATTTTTTGTTTGTTTTCTCTCAGTTTCTGACGAAGCTTTAATACAAGTGAACCATGTTAGATTGATATACGTTTCCTATGTGTTCTTTTATTGTATCATCCTGTCGGATTCTGATCCATATTTGATCTGCATTTGATCTTTAACTTATATATATATATATATATATTATATTTTTTTAAAAATATGATTCCTTTGCTACATAAGAGTTCTCATGTTTCAAAAACGAGAGCCGAAACCATCAATATAATTATTAAAATTAAGTTGAATCAAGGTGTTGGGTCCCGTTTCATCCTCAAGCGAAAATTTAGGAATAAGGTATCTTGTGGTTTCCGCGTGTTTATAAGTATGGTCCATTGCAACATTAATTACTATGGAAACGGCTGGGCCGGTCATCTTGGTTAGGTGGTCAGACAGTTAATTCTTATCTAACAAAAAAATTAATTTTTTTTTTTTTTAAATATTATAATATAAGCTCTACTTCTGTATGGAGTACTGTCTTCTTAAAAATAAAAACAAAAATACTAAGGAACTCCGGATTATTTACCTGACGTGTTCCTTCCTATTTTTCGGCATACTGGCGCATATATATATATATATATATATATATATATATATATATATATATATATATATATATATATATAAAATATATATATATATATATCGTGCATGTGTTAATAAGACAATATATTGTGTAATAAGACAGAGCTATTAAGTATATATTAATAAATATGCATATTATCCCTCACCAGTAGCACGACTGGGAATTTCATACACAACGGACTCTTCAGGTACTGACCGTTACGTAATTTAAATTTTAATAAAAGTAGCTGGTTATAGCGCAGTCTTATATTATACGGGGATTATATTTTTTGTTTTAAAAAATATATTCGGCATTTAAAATAGACGAGATTTATAAATATATATATATATATATGTGTGTGTGTGTGTGTGTGTGTGTGTGTGTGTGTGTGTGTGTGTGTGTGTGTTAATTACTTTAGAGTTGTGAATATTATTGTTTTATATCAAGCGTAAAGGGAGATTACTGGATCAACGTACTTCAACAGATATTTGTGTTATACCTACATGTAACCATCAATTCATTTCTCTTGTTTACTAAGCTAGGGTGATTTAAGTGTTTAAGATATTAATTTTTCAACAAGGCATAAATTACATCTATTGCCTTTCCCATTGTAAGATTTGGCTCTTGCTACAATATCCCATATAATAATGGGTGTATTAGCATCATTTTTAATTGCCGTAAATGTTTTGAAAGAGCGGTACTGTTTATGTTTTTATATTGCTGAAAGTCATTTGATGATGGTAGAAACTTAGTTCCAAGTATTTTCAGTTGAATCAAAATAAAATTTGATATCATTACCAAAATGTATAATAGCTTGGTATGCATTATTATTAATCATACATTGACATTTTAATGGACAGATCATATGTTTTCGGCAGTTGTATTTATTTTAGACATGTATCTTTTTAATACAATATTATGTTTGGGATATGTAAATTTATCGATGTTAGTAAAGCAGCTATAGCTGATCTTAACATTATTTTTGTTAAAAATCTTTTTTAGCATTGTTGAATGATTAAAGTGTGTATGAATTACATTTGGGAAAATTCTTCCGATATTCGTTTGAACATTACGATTAAAAGGTGGATTAAACTGTATAATCTTATGCCTACGGTGTTTCTCTTTGTTTTTTATCTTTTTTTTTTTACTTTATGGTTGCTTAGCTCTAAAGCTTTTATATATTTAATTTCATTATTATCAAATATTTCTTTATGCTGGTGTTAATAGATAATCTTGGACTGGATCTTGGACTTTCAAGTTTATCGACCAACCTTCTTAAGTTTCATATGTATTTTAATGTTCTTTGTTCTTTAGGTCATACATATATTATTATTATTATTATTATTGTAGCATACCTATGGACAATATGGGTATGTCCCCATTCACATAAATACAGTAGTAAATACTGTATGTTGATCTGCAGTTGGAGATTCGTCTCCAGCTGTGCTGGTTAAACTCTCTGCCTCTGGGCAGAGAGGATCTCCAGACGAGGCTATGTCGAAGGGCAGAGTCTCGTCTCGGGAAATAGCTACCCGACTCGGGGTCTACGGGGAATTTTTGGACGAGCCTACGGGCTCCGATACCCTACAATAAACTCGGTTTTGTGTCATATCTCACCGCGTGGGGCGGTTGGTAGATATCCTGCAGTTGAAGATTCGTTGTGGAATTCACTTGACTCACTTCTAGCAGTTGACTACTTCTTCGACGCGCCGCGGGCGAATCTTATATGTGTTGTTCTTGTCCTAACTATTATCGTTCATTACCAAACTTCTTGTGATTATTCTATTCAGTAACCTTCCTTAGGTTACAACTATTATCATTTTATTGATTACAGATTTCTGTCTTTAACATTTGATAAGTGTACGATTGGTTGATTACCTTGTCTTTTACGGTTTATCAACTTTTTTCGGGTTATTTAAAACTACGACCGAGCAATATTGACACGGATTGAGGAATTGGAGAGCTGAGTTCGAATTACAGTTGAGTTTCTTTAGATTCACTTATGTAAAAATATGAATCCATTCTTCCCTCGCTCTAGTTATAAGTAAATAGCAGGACAGATTGCATCTTATAGCATTTGGTGTCAACCAATCTAGGAGAAGGTCAACTCTAAATACAAAACTATATAATATGGGTTAGATAGTAACGTAGACTGGGATTTTCAGATTTGGTTGGCAATCAGCCTAGGTGAAGAACTACTCTAAATTGAAACTGTATGTAGCCCTGATGAAGCCCGAAAATATTTTTGAATCGTAAGAATTCTTTGGTGATAATAACGATTTACTGACATAAGACCTACTATTTAATCCATAACTGTGGGAGAAGTGATCGATTCATACGGGTATTTGTGCGTATGTCAATGTAACGAACCCGAATGGAATTGGAAATCGGCTCTCAAATTTCCAATTCCGATCCTTTATCCATTCCACCAACCACATATCCAATCTAACATCACCTTGGTATTCCCAAGCGGTCACCCATGTAGGTACTCACCAGGGTTGACGTTGCTTAACTTCGATGATCGAACGTGAACCGGTGTGACATGATCGTAAGCCCTATAAGTGTATGCACCCTATAAGTGTATGTACCCTAAAGTGTATGAATATTTAAAATTTGACGGATTTCGACGCTATGGAAAGTAACTCCTACTTCATGTAACTCCTACTTTATGTTGCATCTTCTCTCTCGGCCTCTTCCGGTTGGGGAGGTCACGAAATGTTTTGGGGTTCAAAGATAAAAGAACTTCAACACAGGGAATTTTAGCTCAGCTATTTTATTAACGTTCATTTCGACATGTCTTATCTATTCAGTGGTGGGGGAATCATTCCTCCTCAGTGGGGAGCCGTTCCAGACACGAAAGAGAACACGTCTACACTGCTTGACGGTTAAGACTCGGCTCACTGAAACCTTTCTCCTATGTCTTTTCCCAAGTTGGCTCAGCCAATCAAAATCGACTTCCCAAATTATGCTTGTATCTGAACCCATGGTCAAACTCAGAAAATCCAACCAGAGATACACTTCTTCTACAAAAATAATAGACTGCTAAACTATTTTTGACACCTCGCTCTAAAGATTCTCGATATAGTTACATCGAACAAAATAATTTCCTAGATACGTTGAAAAAGAAAATGGCAGCGAAATTAAAATAATACCAATAGTTTTATTAATTTAAGAATTGGAGAGCCGAGTTCGAATTCCAGTTGAATCCATTTATTAGCCATTACGTACTAATATCCTTGGGAAAGGTATGAATCCCCTTCTCCTTAAATATCAGGACAGATACTGCGGGGAAAATCTGCCTCGAAAGATACATGATCGCCTACATGTGTATCACGCATGACACACAACTGACTTACTGGCCATAATAAGAGAATGTGACGCATAGGCATTTGCGCGTACTCTTACACATGAGCCAATAGCAAAAATTGTCACTACACTTCGATCATTATCCCGTAGTTGTCAGAATAAGCCCCACCCCATGCTGATACAATGAGGGTGATGCTACAGCAGTTTTGAAACCTTCCCGGACAAGGCTCCTCTTATTGCTTTGCCATGGACGAAAACAGAAACACGATGGGAAGGAATTGCAAATAGATAATACACTTTCGTTTAGTACATATTACTCGACCCCCCCCACTGCCAACAGTGGACGAAAATTACACAAAATCGGTTGAACGTTGGATGAACGTATTCGTGCACAAGAACCAGATACCACAACCAGATCCTATCCTGAAGGCCGCTTTGGGAAACCTGGCCCTATATTTACTAATGAGGTTCATGTAACACGGGGTCCCTTTTAACATGCGTTGTTCATAAGTGTACATCTATGCCAAAGATTTAAAAAAAAATGCCCAATTGCCACCACCCGTCACGCGAGCTCTCAGAGTAATTCGATCCTTCTAGTCTTGTGAAATAGTGGAGATGCTGCAGAAAGGGGACAAAAACAGATCCCGGTCTTCTGACAGGAAAAGTGTGCTCTGATCATAATATCTATACGTAGTCAATCCTTGCTTTTTTTAGAAAGGAAATTTTGATAATATCTTTTATAATTAACTATCAATATTCTAGCACAAATTCTCGTAGAAAAAAAGGGAAACTTTTTTTCTTTCGTTTTTTTTTTTTTTTTTTGCTATTTTTTGGTATGACTCATTCTTTCGAAAATATTTCGCTGAATATTTATTTTTTCGCTAATGTTCATCAAACTCATTGCATTTCGTGGCACGCAATGACTAAATGAATGAATCTGCACGCAAATTAGTGATTTCGGATGCTTGCTGATTTATCGTCGCTTGCATTATGGACGATGTGGGAGGGAAGGCTGAATAAAAATAATAAAAGTGAGAAAACACATTATCCAACTATCGCTCGTAAATCAACATTTTTCAGTCGAGAGAGTATTACGATGAAAAGTCAAAGGTTCTTGGCTTAATGTCGAGTCCCACTTCAGATGAAAATATATTGTAATAGATTGGCTATAAGCACAGAGATTGGGTGAAAATAAGAGGTTTTATTTACAAGGTGATTAGAAAAATGGGAATGCTAGACAATAGACAAAGAATATTTTCGCCCATTACAGCCATTAGTATATCCGTGATATACGAACACCTTAATACAACAGGCGGAACAGAATAGCCGAAAGAAAGGAACAACAAAAACGACTTGTTATCAAAGACATATCATTAGTTAGTCAGTTAGTTATGTGCTATGCGTGATACACGCTTAGGTGATCATGTGTCTTTCGATACATGACTGACGAGGCAGATTTTTTTCCCGCAGTAGGTTGCCATTTCTTTCTACGGTAGACCAGTTGCCATCTAAGGCTATAGAATCCGGCCTGTCCTGCTATTTACCCATAGCTGGGGGGCGAAGAAGAGGATTCATACTTTTCCCAAGGGTAAGTGAATGTAATGGATTTGACTGGAATTCGAACTCGGCTCTCCGATTCCTCACTCTGAGTCGTTATCCATTACTCCACCGTGTATGAAAATAAGAGGTTTTATTTACAACAACGGTGGTTAGAATAATGGGAATGCTAGGTAATATAGAAAGAATATTTTCGCCCATTACAGGCATTAGTATATCTGTGATATACCAACACCTTAATACAACAGGCTGAACAGAATAGCTGAAAGAAAGGAACGACAAACACGCATTGTTCTCAAAGAGATATCATTAAGTCACACTATAAGTTATATACAAATACTTATTTGTCTCACACAGAGAAATTATAACACGTGTACAACAAGCAGTGTGAAAAGAGCGAAAAGCAAGAGGTTTTTAGTTACAATATTTCCTGAATGGAAAAAGATCAGGACAGTAGTGTCCGTTCTGTACGTGGTTTCCTCTGCTCTCTCTACTGCCGTCTCTTGCTTCTGTATTGTCTACGTAACAACTGGCGTAATGTAATGGGATTCCTCCTATAAGGTGGTAAATTCTGGACAATGAAGCGAAAACTTAAGGGAACATTTTTTTTCTACAGAAGGATGCTGATTATAACATGGACGCAGTATGTGACCAATGAGTTTTAAGGGAAACAAATTTTAATTTAATTTAAGGGAAACGAATTTGCAAAATCTCGCGTTTCTATTCAACATGACTAACACTTCTTGAGAAAAAGCTGTCTGAGCGGAACTTCTTGCAATACGAAAGGGAGGAAGATTATTGGACACTGTGGACGCGACGCGGCAATTCGTTGCGGTAAAGATGTGAATTGGTGAATGTAGAGGAGACACGGTGGAGTAAAGGAGGTACGGTGAAGTAAAGGAAACAGGGCGGAGGAAAGGAGGCAAGGTGGAGTAATGCATAGCGGCTCGGATTGAAGAATCGGGGAGCCGAGTTCGAATTCCAGTCGAATCCATTACATTCACTTATGTGCTAATACCCTTTGGAAAGGTATGAATCCTCTTCTCCTCTCCCAGCTATGGGTAAATAGCAGGACAGACCGGGTTGTATAGCCTTGGATGGCAACTGATCAGAAAAAAATGGCAGCCTACTGCTTCGTCACGCATGGCATATAACTGACTGAAAGAATGTAGCTCGTCTGAACATTTGGCACTTTGGCACGAAAATAGCGATAGGATAACGAAAGGCTTGTAATGCTTGATCTTTGGTAAGAGCTTCTAAAGTGGGAAATAATTCATCACCTACAAGGAGACGTAGACACTTTTGAACACTCTCAAGTTTGGAAAGTGAGGATTGGGCAGTTCCAGCCTAGATTGGCTGTGACGTCGTCCCCTGGTCGCAGCGCCAACTGTGACGTTCTATTCTGGTCTACCACGGCACCAACTGTGACGTCCCTAAACAGCACCAATTGTGACGTCCTCGCCGCGGCGCCAGCCGTTTGCTCCTCGCTGCTCCGTTCGGGTGTCGCTGCTCCAAACGTGACGTCCGCCTGTCGCGTCAGTCGTGTTGTCTCGTCCTGTGACGACCAACTGGCTTGGTATCGGTCGCGGCACCCAAATGTGACGTTCTAACCTTTTGATGATTCGGGTGGGAATCTGGTTAGATTTGATATCAGCCTCGTCGTTCCCAACTCGCTTTCAACGCCTGGTTACCAAGGTAACTGCATTGATCTCCAGTCTGCCTACCCACGTTGTGAATTGATCTTAGGCAGACGAGATCAAACAGGGGTTTGGGCCGTATTGCAAACCGAGTTCAACGGGGGTGATACCACACAAATATGCATGAAAGAAAATAAAATGAAAACTCAAAAGTTCAAAGTATCAAAGAAAAAGGTAACAAACTTTTTGTCTAGTTGTTCGATACATAGGACTGCATCTATCTCGCGACCCGTTCTATGGATTGTGACACGTCGTTTTCCGTTAGGCAAGTTTTAACGCTTCAAGTTGTTTGCTCTCTAAGAAATTGGTGTTTCGGTGTGTCTTTGGACGAAAGTCGAAAAAAAACTTATTGTGGTGGTCTGGATCTAAGTCGCTCTTCAAAATAATTGTTCTTGGGTTGAAGAGGAGTCCGGAATTTGCGTGAATCTTGGTCAGCTATCTGCGAGGCGGCTTCAACTGGAGACTGAACTCAAACTTTTCTGGAACTGAACTCACTGGAACTGATTTCTGCTCGTTGTGGCTTCGCTTATATGGACGCCGACCAAAACCGGGGTGGGTCTGTCGGCGTCGGGGTTTCCTCGATAATTCTAAATACATATCCACCTCTCTGGTTAGGACTTTCCACTTTTTTTCCATTTTTGGGAACCTTTCCTCACTCCCACCTTCTCACCATACTTCAGAGGGCGTGAACTGCCCTCCCCACTTCTTCGTAGCAGCTTCTCATACCTATACTTTGGATGGGCGGCGACAGCCTCCTTCGTGCGTCACGTGATCACCGCTCGACCAATGATGTCTTAGTCGGGCGTGGACGAATCCGCGGCTTTGTTTCAGGAAGAAAAAAAAATATCTTGCTTAACTAAAAAAAAATATCTCTTCTCTTTTCCTTTTTCTTCCTCTTAATCGCCGTTATCATTGCTCTAGCCGCAAACGGGACAATATGAACAATGGCGGTCATAACTCTTGTTCTACACGTGGTTTTCGTCAGGTATTTTATCGCTAATTATCCGAATGGGTGGTCTTCTTAACACGGCCAACGTCGCCCCGGAAAGACCATTTTAAATTCCCATTCATTTCCCTTCGGTACATATTTCTGATAACATAATTTTATTATTGCAGGCCAAGGATGTTCCGTCGAAGGAAATCGGTCAGCGGACACTCGTGGGTGGCTTTTAATTTTTTCATATCTGTCCAAAGTCCTTTTAGTTGCCTGTTTTTCGTCACTTATCGAAATAACATTTTCATTTGAATTTTTCTTTGGCCAGTCGGTCTGTAGTTGATAATAAGATGCCTTCCCGTACCAATAGTTTGTTTTCATATCCCTAGATAACACAGCCGTCGCCAAAACATATCTGATTCTTTCTTTCTTTCCCTTTCTTTTTACTCAGAATTTCCCTGTCATTGTAATGACACCCTTTCGCCATTTGTTACTTATCAAAATATCCCTTATCCATTGTCTCTTAGCCGTGTGTGTGTTCTGCTTATCATCCACGATTCGGTCTTTAGCCTCTCCTTTTCTTCTTTTCTTTCTTTTCTTTTTCTGCCTCGTTAAATGGTGCCACAGGCTGCAATATTTCATTTGTTTTATTGTAAGGAAAATATATTCGAAGTTCACGGAATAGAAACAAAAATCAGGTAGCTGACAATCATTTGTGGGGACCCGATATTTGTTTTTGGTCGTTGTTGTTTTGTTTTTTGTTTCTTTTTAATTAACGTGTATGTTTCTTTTCAAAAAACCCAGCCTTTTCTTTTGCAGATCTATGCTTACGGCCATATAGCATTGAAATAATAGTTCTCGTACGATCACCGAAGTTAAGCAATCTCGATTTTGGTTAGTAACTGGATGGGTGATTGCTTGGGTGTACCGGCTGATGGGAGCAGAGTATCGGACCTGCTTTCACAGGTTTTACTTGGAAAAAAATATATATCCTTTTAGCGCCATCATAATTTTATACCCCTTCTTACCAGTTGAAATGAGGTGATATTCTAGTGAAAAATCATCTAAAAACCTTCTAGCATAATACGATCTTTCATGGGTGATGTTAATAAATTCAGAACTCCACCAGTAGCCAAAAAAGTAATCACAGCACGCAAAAGGCGTTTTATAAGTTTGGAATCAGGATGTTTCTTTTATTAGAAAATACAGCATTTACGAGGTGCTAAGCACAAAATTCGTAGAATTTGAACAGTTCGTGAGAACAGAATGAAGTACGCCCTTTTGATGTTATTCTTTCTGAACCGTAGTAATGTAATCGCTGTATACATAATGAATGGGAATAATTCTGTTAGAAATAGTGGAAATTAGTTGTTAAGCTGTTTGCGTAGGGGTTTTGTCTTGAATTTTTATTTATTTATTTATTTATTTTTTTGCAAATGTTTGTACGAGAGTGAACTGAAAGGTTCATAGGCTGATTATGAATGGGTGATGCTAGAACTGTGTAACCTTGCATGCTTTAATTTCAACTCATTTTATGAATAACTGCGTTGCTTGTTCAGACTATGAACTTTTCAGCCCACCCTCGTATAGTAGCCCGTACGACCAACTAAACATGTGACTCTAGTTTGCTTGTTGTTTATTATGTATTACTGCAACATGTGTCTATATCTCTTAGATGAGGTGTTATGATTACTTATATTATTTACATTATTCGGACTGTAATCCTCATCTTCATACCAGACTACAGCAGTGGTGAAGCAAAAACTTGGAGAGTTGACTTAAACGGAAATAACTGAGACATCCGGAAGAGGCATGGTACGTGGAACTAGAACAATTTAGCCCGGTTGATGAAATAAAGAGTTCGGTTCGTAATTCCAATCACTTGAAAAAAGCGGGAGCGTACAACGGCCGAGGCTTTGTGAATATGGCAATGAAAAATAAGAGACAGACAGACAGATAGACAGATAGACATACAGACAGACAGATAAAAAGCTATCCGATAACAGAGAGAGAAAGACTAAAAAAAAAAACGCTAAATGAAAAATAAGAGACAGACAGACAGATAGACAGATAGACATACAGACAGACAGATAAAAAGCTATCCGATAACAGAGAGAGAAAGACTAAAAAAAAAAACGCTAAATGAAAAATAAGAGACAGACAGACAGATAGACAGATAGACATACAGACAGACAGATAAAAAGCTATCCGATAACAGAGAGAGAAAGACTAAAAAAAAAAACGCTAAATGAAATATAGCGGGCGAAAGTGAAAATGTTCAGATCTTATGCATCAGAGACATAGACAGAAAGTTGACAGTCATATGTCGTGATAGGGAGGCACTTATGTTGCTTTCAGTTCGACAAAAATAAAATAAAATAAATAGAACAAGAAAAACAGCAACTTTTAATACATCGTTATTGTTGTTGTTTATTCCTGAACACTGCTTATGGCGAGTAGGAAGCACTGCCACTGTACCTATAGACGCTGGTCTCAAAAAGCTCCAAATGAGTTTCCTATAACAAGAATGAGGAGGCAGTTAGTTCACCCGAACAGCTCCCTATATATATTACGGTTGTGAGCCAGTCTCTGAGTATCTCTGAATCATATTCCAGTCGACTCAGTGAAGTAATTTTCTCCTTTGTCTACCTGTTATTCTTTTGCCTAAGCTATGACAGTGAATGTTGGACAATCACTACAAAGATGAAGAAAAGACTTCTGTTGCTTCAAGTCTGTTCTTTTATTTTTGAGGAGATTGTCCAGTATTCATCGCCATACCTTAGGCAAAAGAAAAAGTGGCAGACAGGGGAGAAAATGCGATGACATCGTCACTGAGTGAGGATCGAACTCATTACAGAAATAATGGTCTGTGAGATAAACAAGTGACACGAACTTTGAAATGCTAAGCGAGTTCTTTGCTCCAAGGTGAGGCATGTGTATGAAAACCAAAGCAGAACGCATATAATCTCCCACAGGATCAATATATAAGAACGTGACAGAGCAACGCGGTTAAAGTTTTCCTTGTTTTTTGGTTGCATTAATTGAAAACGGCAAAGCGGCCAATAGCAAAACTGATTTCCTATTGCTATTATTTACGTCCTTTTTATTTTATTTTACTTTTTTTTTTTTTTTTTTTTTTTTTTTTTAGTTTTGGAATAGGGCGAGGACGGGCTGGATAGGTGTAATCGAATTGCGTCTCGAGAAATGTAAATCCATCCCCCAGACGGCAAGATTTAATTGTTTTCCCTGTGAGCTGTTTGTTTATTCTATGGCTTGTAGTAGATTGAAGCAATATAAGACAGTTGAAAAAATATATATTTATAACATTGTGTTTTGTTGAGATCTAGGAGGGTGTGCCTATTTACAACTATGCTCCTCTTTATGATCATTATTATTACTATTATTATTATTATTAATAATAATAATATTATTATTGCTGTTCCATTTGCATATTCACACCAGATGTCTCGTGGTTATCGCTGAGGAACGCGGAAAGCAAGTTCCCTGAAATTTCCAGCACCTTTCACAGTATCCTTGCCTAACCCATCAACACTATGTTCGTCCATTATTATTATTATTATTATTATTATTATTGGTGGTCTTGTTGTTGTTACTGCTGTTGCTGTTGTTGCATTTGCGTATTCACACCAGATGTCTTGTGCTTATTGCTGAGGAGCTAGTTAAAGCAAGTTCCCTGAAATTTCCAGCACCTTTCACAGTATCCTTGCGAACCCATCAACACAGTGTACGTCCATTATTATTATTATTATTATTTGTGTTGTTGTTGTTGTTACTGCTGTTGCTGTTGTTACATTTGAGTATTCAAACCAGATATCTCGTTGTTATCGCTGAGGAACGCGTTAAAGCAAGTTCCCTGAAATTTCCAGCACCTCTCGCAGTATCCTTGCCGAACCCATTAACACAGCGTTTGTCCACTATTATTAACATTATTATTATTATTACTATTATTATTATTATTATTATTATTTCCTAAGACGGGTTTAATTTTGGTATGAGACAACAAGAATAAATCACAAAATGAATATTAAAGTAATCATATTCTACAAAACTAGCTTAATAAATATTACACCATCTAATAACACCTATTTATATGAATGGGTTTATATACATATATGTGTGTGTGTGTGTGTGAGTGTGTGTGTGTGTGTGTGTGTGTGTGTGTGTGTGTGTGTGTGAGTGGGCGTGATGCCGAGTGGCTAGAACTTTCGCTTTCTGGCCATGAGACCCCAGTTCGTATCTCATCCCGGTTGATTTGTTAGGAAGGAGACTTCCTGATGCAATGGGTCTGGAGAGGAAAGTGCCTGAAATCCGTACCACGAGTTGTCCCAAGACTTGCCAGTGAAATTGGGTAGTCGGAACACTTGGGGGCTAGCAAGAAGTCGCAAGTAATCGTGACCGAGGGTTTGAGTGTGCTGGCCTTGTTCAGATTGTTGATCACGTTAAATAACACTCTCTTTCCCAGAAACTGTAACTAAGTTCTGCTCAGCATAGTTGCAATATAAACCACAAGTAGGCTTTGTGGGTGTTGAACAAATACAAATGTGCCTGAGTGAGAGTCTGCAATAGGAATTGGCTAGCCGCCCTAATAGACAACTATGCTCGAATACGAATGGCCAGCTATTATATATATATATATATATCTGTGTGTGTGTGTTAGTGTGTGTGTGTACAGGGTTTAACAGCTTCACCGTCCATCCCACAAAACGTATATCTAAAAAACACTAAACTGAGTTTTTTCCAGGTTTTCAGATAAGTCGTTTAGCCATCTTGACACCATTTGTCTTTATAATCAATGAAAACATCTTTGACTTATTCAGCTAAAAAGAGAGCAGGTTAAAATTGTTTTGTGTCAGACCCAATTTCTTCCGAACTGAGCAATGGTAAGAGGAAAAAGATCACTCACGTCTTCAATAATGTTACCAACATTATACTC